TTAACTAGTTTTGCCTATATATACGTATCACAGAGCATTACAACTTTCCTTCTATGCTATGCATACCACAGAGAGTGAGAACAGTCATGGCTTGTCATTTTTGGCATATTTTCCAAATTCAATTATCTTCTCAGTCAAATCAAAATCCAATACCTACAATATTTCATTTGCTTTTCTCCCATTTTTTTCATTCCAAATTCATTACGCAACAGTCTTCATTTTTTTTTTTTTATAATCATCATCAACAATTCTCCATCTTCCTCCTGCACCATTCTTTGACCAAGTTCCTTTTCTCTTCTCAATGCAGCATTGTTCCTGGGTTTCCTTTCTTCTGTAACTGTTGTATCATGTTCGTGAATTTGGGTTTCATCTTTTGTTAATAGGTAGGTATGTGGTTTTTTTTTTGGCTGTTATGTGATGTGTATTAGTTCTGGGATCTTGCTGAATCATCTGATGATGGGTGTTTATCCTATCTGTTCTCTTGTCCTTTTCCTATATCTTTCTGGGTCTGGCTTGCATTTTGGTTGGTGAGATGGTAGAAACATGAAAGAGCTAGAAACTTGTGTTCCATGAAATGAAAGCCTGCTTATCCTAGTGGCTCTTATTTTGTGTGTGGAAAACTGCTGATTGTAAAGTTTTACCATTTTTCTTTTCCTATTTACACAATAGAGAGCCTAACTATTGCTGGTATTATTTTTCAGTTAAATTCTTTGTTGGATATAATATGGGGCATACCTTGAATCTTTGAGATAAATTTAACTAGTGAAGGAACAATGGGAGGGATCTGTCCTGGAGGAATGAGAGGGAAGAATAAAGGGCTTCGAGGGAAGACTGATTCTGAGTTTTCAACGAGGGTGGAATCATTAAGGGGCCTTCCTCTGCAGAAAAGAAGTTCTAATTCACAGACCAACTTGGCTGGCTTTGAAAAGTGGCAGCATAGTCTTAATAGCAGCCTTCTATCATTTTCCAGTGAATTGAAGCAATCAACGCCCGCTACAGAAGCAGCAAACAAGGTATTTTTACTTCGATATAATTAGTTGTTAATTAGTGGTTGCATATGGTTATCATTGACAGAAATGTAAGAATCATGCAGATAATTGGGGGGGGGGGGGGGGAGAAAGTGATTTTTTGATGTTCAAACATATGAATGAGTTAACTTTTAGTAGAAAGCAGCTCATTGACAGAAAAATATGGTGGAAATTTCTTGATGGTAGATGATCCAAGTTCATGTGAATTATGGTTTGGATGGAGGAAAATTGAGATCCTTTGGCTTTACAGGTCCAGAATGCACTGGATTTTTTTTATTATGCTATATTTTGTTTTTTGTAGGTTCTTCAGGGGAGTTCGTTTCTGGGAAGAGCTGGCATTGTTGGCCTAGAGAGGACTGTTGATCTTCTTGACATGCTTGGGAGTAGCATGTCAGATTTGAATGCTGGTCATAGCTTTCCTTCTGGCATTATTTCCAGAGGGAATTGGATAAGTATACTGGCATTTGAAGTGGCTAACACAATAGCAAGAGGTGCAAATTTGCTGCAATCACTTTCGGAAGAAAATATCCTTTTCCTGAAAAAGGATGTCCTCAATTCGGAAGGAGTGCAGAAGTTAGTCTCCACAGATATTAAAGAATTACTAAGTGTGGCTGCTACTGACAAGAGGTGCTTCTTAGTGAAAAGGGTTGCTTTTCCTCTGTGGTATAAAGTGTCTTGTTGGGTAGGGTGCCATCTTGCTTCTGTTCTTATTTTATTTTTATATCACTGTCCTTTGGATTTTTGTAGGGAAGAATTGAATGCTTTTTCAAGAGAAGTAATAAGGTTTGGAGATCTATGTAAAGACCCGCAGTGGCACAACCTTGGTCGATACTTTTCAAAGTAGGTAGATCTTTTATGGTGCATCATTTTCAGTTTGGTTGCTGATATTTGCTGACTATGAAATCAGATTAGATTTGAACCATGTTCTTGTGATGAATCAGATTAGATATGAACAATTCAATCAATAAACATAGAGCAGAGGCAGAAACGACAATGCAAGAGTTGATAACTCTGGCTCAGCAAACTTCTGTAAGTTTATCCTATAGTCTTAATTCTGGGTTTAGTTTGATAAACTACAGATGTCAACCACATATGGCTGCAAACGGTATCGGCCATTTGTTTCTTTTATCACTTCTAATCTACATCCTCTCCTTCTGAAGCTGACATATGTTACATCTGTAGGAATTATATCATGAATTGAATGCCTTGGACAGATTCGAACAAGATTATAGGCAAAAGCTTGAGGAAGTGTCATCCTTAAATCTCCCCAGAAGAGGTTGGTCTTGGACATCCATTGCACTTTTATAAGCTTTTTGCAGTATGTCCATTTATGCTCTAATTGCATCTTCTCATTTATATCTCCTAGAGACTGGCTAACCCTGGCATTGGAGTCATTATTGACAGTCTACTCTTTTTGAAATGTAGGAGAGAGCCTCATGATTTTACATGATGCGCTAAAGCAACAAACAAAGCTTGTGAAGAGCTTGAAAAAGAAATCTCTTTGGTTTAGAACATTGGAGGAGGTATATAACTATGAACAATTAATTCACTTGTGGGAATTCTTTAAACAATTTATGCTTTAAACTGTCACCAACACTCTTCACGTGATACTGCTTTCTGCAAGAGGCTGCAGAATGTAATATTTCTCATTAAGTATGCAACTTATATAATATTTTCCTAATCAAATTTCTTCTGTTGTAGATTGTAGAGAAGCTAGTTCATATAGTTACCTTCATGCATCAAGTAATCCTTGAAGCCTTTGGAGGTAATAATTATAATAGCATGAACTCAACTTCTGGTGTAAGGATATACTTAAAACATTTCTCTGCTTCAAAAAATGTTCTTCAGATGACTAGTCCTGCTATCTTATGTAAATTCTTGAATTATAATTATAGCAGGTGTGGCATCAGTTCAGAAAGCCTCAACTGAGGATCCTCAAAGACTAGGTGTTGCTGGCCTTGCACTACACTATGCGAATGTAATTAATCAGATAGATAATATTGTAAGTCTCTGTCTTTTATTTTTCCCTGCGTTTTCCTATCAGGCAATCACATGTTTATTTCTTTATAATGGTGCCACCACATATTGGACTAAGTTGAAAGCTGTGTTACAGGCATCTCAACCAGCCTTCGTTCCAGCTAATGTGAGGGAGACATTATATCACGGGTTGCCAACCAATGTTAAGAAATCTTTAAGGTCTCGATTGCTGTCTATTGATGCCAAGGAAAAAGTATGGTTGTCATAGCTCTTCTTCATGCTAAAATTTGGAACTTAATTTTATGTCACTTTCTTGCATTCTTAATCTATTTCTTTCCCACTTTATATAAGTATGTGACTTGAATTTGTTTCTTATTCTCTGCACCTTTGTGCCATTCTGCTTTAATGCAGCTTACAATTTCCGAGGTCAAAGATGAGATGGAGAAAACACTCCACTGGCTCGTTCCAGTTGCCGCAAACACAACCAGGTAGGTTAAATCAATGAGGACACCGGATTCTTTTCCCCTGTCAAACAATTGGATATTGCTTTAATCTTCTTATGTGAGGAAAAGAAAACATAATTTCTTTGGTTTCCAAATTGTTGTTATTGCCATGCTATTGTCATTTGCTCCTTTCTTTTGCTGCAATTGGCCACAGAGCACATCAGGATTTTGGATGGGTTGGAGAATGGGCAAACACCAGGTCAGTTGAGGCTTCTCTTTATATTCATGTCTGAGCATTGACACCTTTTATATTACATTATAGTAACAAAAAGTCTTATGGTGTCCTTTCGGTTTGATAGCTTTGAATTCCAGCAGAATGCAGCCCAAAACAGTAGCCTAACCCGACTCCAGACACTATATCATGCCGATCAACGGAAGACAGACGCATACATCCTTGAATTGGTGACTTGGCTTCACCATTTGGTCAGCTTAACAAAACAGAGGGAACACAGTTTCAAGCCTCAGCCTGTTCGATCTCCAACTCAGAAAACTATCACCTTCCAACCTAAAATGCTCCAATTTCTACCATTCAACTATGGTCCGAAAACACAGGTGATCGAACTTTCTCAAGAAGAGAGAATTCTATTGAACAAGCTCAACCGGCGGAGATTGAATCCAGGAATAAGTAGAAGTCAGGAATTCCCTATTGGCGAGAAGAAAGGCAGTAGAGTTTGGGCATTAAGCAGAAGTGCCGACAACTCTCCTCAGGGGGATCTCACTCCATGGAGCCTGGATCATCAGAAAACTATGATAGATGTTATGGATGACTTATTTTACAATTTTTGAGAGCAATTTTCTTGCTGTCGTTTAGAAAAAAAAATAAAAATCTTTTCCATTCCTATTCTTTTGTATTTATGCATAATAGCACTTCTACTTGGCAATAATTTTACCAGAACAAAGTGATGTTTGAAATTATTCTATGTTCTTTGAGAATTGGTTAGTCCTACTGCACTGCTTTCAACTGCTCCACCATCTTCATATTCTACTTACACCACCTTGAATTCTATATAAAACTCCAAATCAAGCATCAAAAAACTCAATATCATCTGTCCCCTATCAGAATAATGAAGATTTTCAGTACCCACAAAGCCTGTCTCCTCTTTTTCTTGTTGATGGCTTACTCTGTTTCTCCTGAAAAAACCCAGCAGGAAGCTCCACCTGCCATTTCACAGGGTGAAGAGAATGAGCCAAATCTTTCCTCCCCTGTACAACAGGTGGCTCCGCCTGTTTTCGGCCAGAAACCTCCATTTGCGAAGCCTGTAGGCAACCAAGCTCAGCCGTCTCAACCAGGTTATGAGCAGCCAGGAGAGCCTACTTTCCCTGAACAGAACCCAAACCAGGCTCTCTCTGGATTTAATCAGCCATTTTCCTCCGTTAATCAGCCTCTCTCTGGCTTCAATCAACCGTTTTCTAATTTCAACCAACCTTTCGGATCTAACACCCAACAACAAAACTCAGTGGCAAACCTTCCCTTCGCAAAACCCAATGGTGTTTCCAGTGAGAAGACTTCCGTTCCAAGAACTATCATTTCTCTGCTGCTTTCCTTAGGGCTTCTCTTAGTCATGTTATAGATTAATAGATTGAGATTTGTTTCCTTTGGGTACCTTGTAAACTTGTATGGTTTACGTTAAAAAGAGTTATGTTTCTCCCTTATGCAAAAACACAGAAAAATTCCATTATTTAAATCCAGTGACTTTGAAACCAGATTTAATGGATTTTTCCTTCAAGGTGGAGGATGCCCAGGTTGTCGTAACCAGGCGGTGGGGCAGACACCCATCCGCATCGCTAGCGAAAATGACCACTCCTCATCTCCCCGTCCCCGTTGCTGCCTGAAGGATCATATCCTAATCCACTTTGGTCGCCTCTTTTAAAGCATGCACGTGAGCCCCATATTCGGACTGTGCAGTATTGTTACCTTGACCTTGACAATATTCAGAGGCTTATGAAAAAAATATATATACCAACTTTTTTTTCCCGCATAATTTTTTTTGGACACTCGAAACTTAATTCAAAAACATTCTTTGTTTGTTGAATAGAGATTTTAGAGTAATCATAGGGGAATGAAGGAATGAGACGACATTAAGAAACTAATGATATAACATAAATTATATAATGAAATAAATTAATATTATATTATTAATAATAAATTTTGATCTCCTTCATTATTATTAAAGATTTTATACTTACAGTTTTAATAAGATGATTTAACTGTTAAAAATTTAAGATTTTAAATTAAAAAATTTAAATTTATATTTTAAATCGAATAAAAAAAATTTTAAAATAAAAAAAAATTATTTATTTTTATATAATTTATAATCAAAATGTACCAAAAAAAAATTATAATCACTCCACTCAAAATATTCGGCAATGGTCCACGAATAATACATACATAGACATTATAACCGTTGACATGGATTGAGCCTAGACTCTCAATTTCGGGTTTGTGTCATGGGTTGTGTATAAGTCCTGAGAAGCCCAAAAAGAAAATTTCGGGTCCAGCTTGATCTCTCACGGCTCAGATTCCCTGCTCCACTGGGCTTAGGTTTCAAATTTAGACCCAAGTCCAACAAAATTCGTTATGACAGTCGACTTGTGCTGGCAACTTGGCATACGCTGATGAAACACGCTTGGTGTGGTACGGTCAAGATCCTGCCACCTAACGTGGATGCCGATTCTGCATTCAAAAGGTAAATGAATGGATAAGGTTACAAATTTTATTTTTTTATTTAAAGATATAAATTTTTT